TACTCAGGAGGCGTGGCTTTCATCAGAGAAGAGGAGAACGGTCTGAAAGCCGTTATGAAACGATTGTTTAAGTTTCTTGATCCTTTCCTTGTTCCTAATAAATCAAACCCTGAATCATTACACTTTCCAGAATTATTGCTAAAACATGATTTGTATAAATTGATATGAATAAAATACTTACATCAATAAATCAGTGAAATTATATAATTGAGCGTCTGTGCTGACGTCCTTCGGATGATTTCTCTTACCGAGTTTGTGTGTAGGATTGATGGAGGATAATTTACTGGTTACACAACTACACTATTTGTGCATGTAGTACACAGTTATAGAAGATAAATGATTTATAATCGCACTATCCGGTGTCACCCAGATGAGGATGGGTTCCCTTTTGAGTCTGGTTCCTCTCAAGGTTTCTTCCTCATGTCGTCTCAGGGAGTTTTTCCTCACCACCGTCACCTCTGGCTTCTCATTAGGGATAAATTTATACATTTACAACTTATTTAGTTTAACTTAATTTGAATCGATTTATTCCTGTAAAGCTGCTTTGTGACAATGTCCGTCGTTAAAAGCGCTATACAAATAAAATAAAATTGAATTGAATTGAATATGCGCTTCTGACACACATTCAGTGTTTAATTTTTTTTTAAAAATCAATCTCTTACAATCTTCATGTCATGAATGAAAAGCAATATTGTCTATGTGTCTATCCTCAGTGTGAGTGTTTTTCTGTCTGACACAGAATCTCCTCCATAAGCTCTAACCATTTCCATCACTATTAATACACTTTTTTTTGTTTTTTGTTGTTGTTTTTGTTTGTTTGTTTGTTTGTTTTTAACAGGATGTTCCTGACAGGATGGGGCGTCATCACTGTTGTCGTTGGAACCTTTATCTTTGGCCAGAGTACCACCATCGCTGTCATGGAGCTCACACACAAGGCTTGATCATCATCATCATCATCATCGTCATCATCTTCATCATCATTGTATTATTTATTATTATTATTAATTACATAAGAAAGTAAATAAAGACAGGGTTCTTCTGACGCTGACTCTGTGGTGGAGGAATTCTTCCTACTTACGTACCTCTAACATCCACCTTTTTATTGTTTCTGAGTAGAAATAATGAGCAATTTAAGGAATTCAGGAATATATTTAATTAAATTTCCTAACATGAGAATAAATTAATCAAACTTTGGATTGAGTGTTAATACTTACACTGATTATAGAGAGTGGAAATTTTCCCACCTTCGGACGTTTCCTAAACAAAAAGAACATTTTAACTCGGTGACTGAGGATCGTTTTTGATTGGATACAGCAACAAAAATTTTATTTTTTATTTTTATTTATTGTTTTACATTACAGATACATACAGTAAAATCCTATAGTAAAAGGACGGCATTTTGGACGGTGGAATTCAGTGTAATTGTAAGCTGTGTTGATCAACTAAAATGAGAATATTTTTGATGTTTATTATTATTATTATTGCCATGGATGATATTGATACTGTATATAATAAAAGAAATGTTCCAAAATGTCTATACTGTGACAAATTTTATCAAATGTCTGAAAAAAATAAAATAGTATTTCCAAAGTCACGCTGTTTTTAAAGCTATGTTCTTCATCAACATCTTCTACGTTATTTCTTAAGCGTTACAAATATTTCTTTTGTGATATCTTGTTGTACAGTTTACTTACGAGTCTCAAGACAATACAAAATTGTGTGATTGTTGTTTATTTCAGTTTGTGATTCTTTCACCTAGACCTCGGGCTGTAAATCTGACACGATGTCATGACGATATTAATGATTTTTAACCGAACAAAAGCTTGCTCTTTTTTCAGACAAACCATATTGACTATATTTTTCTCCAACCACCTTCATGTCCATAAATTTCCACTCATAAAATACATCCTTTGAGCTGAGTGCTGTCTGATTTTAGATTGCAGACTGCAACTTTTTTCCATAATTTATTTTTATTTTGTAATATATATACAGTGCTCAGCTTAAATGAGTACACCCCCTTTAAAAAGTACGAATTTAATCAGTAGCTCAATGAACAAAAGAACAATTTCCAAAGTTTTCACAAGGCTGAGTTTTATTGAACACTTATTTAACTCCATAACATGAAATTAAGGTTAATAATCTAACTTAGATCACAAAATCTTCAGTTTTACTCAAATTGGTTGAAGCAAAAATGAATACA